TCTCCAAAACTTTTAAGAAAACCAAAGTTTTCCTTAAAAACGGGCCGTTTCGAGGGACCAGGCCCATATAGGCCCTAAAGCCGACCTGCCACTGGTAGATACGCTCCCACGGCGCGTCGAGTTTACACCCCTGTGACGGATAGCAAAATTAGAGGAGAAAAAAAAAATATGATGAAACCTTAACATTAACTCATATCGAATTTCAAAAATAAGAGGCATCTACACGCGATACAACTATTTTTGCTAGATGGATGTCCATTGCACATGAAAAATTAAAAGCGCGATGGCGTGAGTTGTGAGGCGTGAATTCGCAATATGCTCTTCTCTAGGCTGTTAGTCACATCCGGGAGAAAAGTTAAAAAGCGAGGCCGGATTACGTTTTTCCTACCTTCGGCTGTGTTGCTAACGTAGCCTTTGAAGCACCACTACAATTGAGACAAACGAAACCAACACAATAAGGAAATGGAGCAAGGGAAAGGACTCGCGTTGATGACGGCGCAGAGATACGACTATTCGTGCTTGATGGATGTCCGTGTTGCATCTGCAAAATTGAAGGCGCAATGGCCCGGGGCATGAGCTTGCAATGCTCCCCTATGTGCTGCCAATGAGGTGTCGCTCAGATTCGGGAGAAAAGTTAAAAAAGAGGCCCAAATACGTCTCTCCTTTCTTCGACTGTGTTGATACACCACTCTTTTTTGGAATGATTTGCAGACCAACATCTAAAGCTCGCGTGAACCGGCCCCATCCAATCTGCGGGGCAGGTTTTGTTAGGAAGCCTCGCAATTTGACCCGGCTTCAGCATTTAAGGGTTAATAAAAATATCATTAAAATGACTGCACCTTCCTCGCTGAAAGTCAGGATTCAACATTGGATCCAAAATAGGCCATTCAGTCTGTGAATTTCAATAAAATTTGGTTATGCTATCTCACAAAGTTAGGCTCCAATTGTTCGGTCACGTCTGAAAACATTCTCATTTCCAACAAAATTATTGCTGAATGGGTCTTCCTCCTGTGGATACCTGATGAATTTAATTGGTTTGTTCCTATCTCTCTTTTTTTACTTGCCTTACTGAACACCTTGTCCTTTCCTAGACTCAACACTCTTTTTTTCTCTCTCTCTCCTTCAAAATTTCACCTTGTACTCACTTGATTGCATGTTTCATTTTCCAATCGAGGAAGCTAAAAAGATCTTTCCAGCTGATATTTTTCCTTGGGTTCATCATTTTCAGACTCTTAGTGTTTAAATGCAGTATTTCAGGTGGTCAGATCTGCCTCGGTTTCTCTAGAAATAACGGAGCTTGGATGCGTCTAGTAGCTGTGATTTGTTCTCTTTTTTTTGTTTCACAAGTCTATCGGTCACTTTAACACGTTCAATTTTGAATTTTTTTTCTCTGGGGTGCATCCCCCGGGAAATATCATACGACACCCACTTAAACGGCCAAGGGTCCACGCTCTTAGGTGTGAGCCAGTCCGTCCATGCGAGGAATGTTAAATTTTACGAGGGAACTGGTGTCCGATAGAAATGAATGAGGTAATTTTTGGATCGAGTAACTAAAAATACAAAAGGATACAGGCATTGCATGTCCAACGAATGTCTCTCTCTTTGTCAAATGACTATGTTTTTCCAGTCAAATGACATAATGCGCTTGTAAAGCCCCATGTGGAACGCATCCTTTTGTTTTTCGTCCGAAAGAACGGAAAAATTATTTTATCTAGGTCCCCAATGGAGGGCCTTCCACTAACTAAATTTTTGCTGCTAAATCAGAGAATGGCCGTATTTTTTTTCTTTTTTTACATATACCTCTGACCAATATTTAGGAAATCCGAATGTTTATACAAATGCGTATTTTTGGCATCTGAATAGGGGTTTTTTTTGTTGCAAACTCGATCTTTCGGAAAGTAAGTGGGTTGTGGAAAAAACAAAGGTCGATTCAGGGTCAGAGGCAAAAAATAAGATATAGTAGCCAAATTACAGCTATTTGAATAAAATGATTTTCTGTCCTTCCGGACTTAAAACAACAGATCAGTTTTATATAGGATTCGTGGGTGGATAATGCCATTTTGACCGGAAAACCTCGTTATCAGAAAAAGGGAGGCATGTTTTTTGGACATGCTGTATGCGATACATGTCTAGCTAGTGTCTATGTATCTTTGGCTCCTAAATTCAAGAATTACTTCGGTTTATCTCGATCATGCACCAATTTCCAGAAATTCAAATTTTCCTAGGAAAATTCATTTTTAAATAATCCCAATCCGCCTGGAAAATGGCAGAGACAGGGACAAACCGAGGTCATACTTGGACCCAGGGCTGAATTTTACACGGGAATTCGCTAATGAAGCATTAATTTTTTTTCGCTGCATACTTGTGTAATCTTTCATATTCAACAGCGGACCAGTTTTGCGTCATTTTCAAACTGCCTGCGCGAAGAAGTATATCCTGAATTAAGGAGTCCTTTGGAACAAGAGGGTGTGTGCTCAAAAAAGTAGTTCCACGGAAATTGCATTTGAAAGTTCAGAAGTGTATAGCACTGGTACTAGCCAATATCTTCGCACGAAATTTAATCAGTTTGAAAGAACAAGTCTTTGAGAGTATACTTGCAAAAACGGAACATTGTGACTACATTCCCCTATGATCCCTACAAGATAATGTGGATCGTTGTGTAAAGGGGGGGGGGGCAGGACTTCTTAATACACTTTGTATATTTCCTGAAACTAGGAAGAATCAAGTTTCAGAAAACGCGTTCTCCCGAAAAAGGGCGGATGCGCGCATACGCCTTTACCCCAAAGAACTCCATGTAACCTGCCGGCACGGCGCGGCGCGGCGTCTAGAAGAAAAAATCAGTTGCACCTCATGAAATGTTAGCTCTATTTTCGAGTGACCGCGGTGTTGCGCTGTCTACTATGGGTTTGCACCTATAGATGCTTGTCTGAGGGATATTTTCTTGAAAAAGTAGCAGATTTGTTAATTGTTCATGTGCCTCCGTTTTCCTCGTTGGCATGAGATGAGATAGGTCCAGTCAGCACCCGATATCTCCGAAACGCGCCACGCCGCGCTGCGCCTCGTCGCACAGTTAACATTTGATTTGGAGCGGCCTATGCGTGAAACTAAATTCGGCGATAGTACGTAACAGCTCTTACCTATATATACCACATATCAAAAAATTATAGTTGTACCTGGATTCCCACGATGTGAAAATTGACCGGGATGTCGATTTTAGCGGCCTTTCTTTACTTGAAGGTAGCTCTTTTGAATGTTTCTCGACCTTGGTCACCCTCTACGGGTAAGTACTATATGTATTTTTCTACGTACTTTTCATATCTGGCCATAAAAATGGCTTCCTGTGCATTTTAAAAGGCGTAACGGAAAATTGTTGCCAAATTTCACAATTTTTAGGGGTTTTTTCAAGTTTACATGTGTGAAACTTAATTTAATCTAAAAACCGTGTACATTTTCGGAAAGAACGTAAAAAAATACCTGAACAGGATTTGTAACTTATCCCTACGTTGCCAAGTTTTCGAGAAAAATCGTCCTGAAGCGCCAAAAATTCCAAAAATTGGATTAATCATCACGTCGAAGGTTCCAGGAAGTGAATATTTAGTTTTATTTCACTACAAATAACGTATCGGAAATGGAAAATTGCAGTGGGTCTCACGGAACATGTAATAGCTCATACGAACGTGACAAAACGGACCTTCAAGATGCTTTTACCTTATCCTTCACTCCATTTCACCTCTTCATTCCTGTAACCTCGAGATAATCCTTGGTTCTCAAGATGCTTGCTACAGGCCGAATATACCAAACAACAGAAACTGCGTGAGGAAAGTGTCCCACGATCCACATGAAAGTCATAATTCACTTTCTAGAACCTTCGACGTGATGATTAATCCAATTTTTGGCATTTTTGGCGCTTCAGGACGATTTTTCTCGAAAACTTGGCAACGTAGGGAAAAGTTACGAATCCTGTTTACGTATTTTTTTACGTTCTTTCCAAAAATGTACACGGTTTTTAGATTAAATTAAGTTTCACACATGTAAACTTGAAAAAACCCCTAAAAATTGTGAAAATTGGCAACAATTTTCCGTTACGCCTTTTAAAATTCACAGGAAGCCATTTTTATGGCCAGATATGAAAAGTACGTAGAAAAATACATATAAAGCACACCCATAAAGGTTGACTTAGGTCGAGAAACATTCAAAAGAGCTACCTTCAAATAAAGAAAGGCCGCTAAAATCGACATCCTGGTCAATTTTCACATTGTGGGAATCCAGGTACAACTATAATTTCTTGAAATGTTGTATATGGAGGTAAGAGCTGTTACGTACGTCAATATAAAAGTTGTACTCCACTTCCTTGAACCTTAAGCGTGGCAATTTATCGAATTTTTGCCATTTTTGGCTCTTTGGGACGATTTTTCTCGAAAATTTGGCAGCGTAGGAAAAAGTTTCACGAACATTTTTTATTCATTTTTTTGCGTTCTTTTCAAAAACGTACACGGTTCTTGGTTTGAATTGATTTCTGCGTGTGTAACATTAAAAAAAAACCCTAAAAATGGGCCAAAAATGGCAACAGAGGGCCATAAGGCCCCTTAAAATTTATCGGAGGCCTTTTAAAAGGCCAGAAACGGAAAGTACGCAATAAAATACATTGGAAACATCTGCTGAAAGAGTGATTCTAGTCAAAAAAGTCGACAAAAATAACTATTTTTCGATGCCGAGGTTCTGGGTTTGAGGCGTTGTTGCACCTTTGCATGGGCTCCGTTCGGTAAAATATTTGGCACAAAGTCTACCTAGGTCTAGTATTTTGAAAATATGAAACATTCAGCAAAATCCAGGCGGGGCCGGAAAAGGCCCAAAACGATACTCCTCCTTTCGTTTTGATATGAGCATGCGTTCAAGTGGCAGTCGGGGACTTTTCGCTAACCCTGTATTATTTATGATGAACTGCAGTTACTTTACCAGTAGGTCTACTTGGAAAAAGGAAAGAGATTGAAACTTCATACCTAATACAAGGCCTTTTCTATTTTCATTTTCTGGACGTCTCAGACTTTTCTTTTGGATTTGTATTGCTTTAACTTCTGAAAAACCGAACATACAAAAAATGAGCAATAATATCAAAGTCTCAAATTTTTATTTTAAAATAGAGGATTTACAGATACACAGTAAAATTTTAAAAATTACCACATACTTGCATTGGACACACGCTTACACCTTCAGTTGCGCTTGGTTCCATTTTTAATGCGGTAAGAACAATTTAAAAAATCTCCGCATACATCGGAACTGCTTTTGGAATGACACATTTTCCATAACAAACTAATGCTAATAGAATTTTACCCCACAATTCTGTAGCAAGTTTCAAAGCTTTAACGTTGTTTTTCATCCTGTGCCTTATGTCTTCTTAAATCATTTATTAAATTAGTTATCAGCAAAGTTGTAGCTGAGAAAATTTCAGGCAGAATTGAAAAGAATAAGTTGTGCACTGAGACTTAAATTATTAAGTTCTTGTGCGAACCCGAACATTAACATTATACTTAAATTAAACCCACAAGAGAGCACGAAAGTTTGAAACAGGCCGAGAATCACATTTTCTCCAATTTTTCCATCCGTAACTCTTAACCTAACCTAACTCGAGATCAAGAGAAATAAAGTTGCACCCAATCAAATTTTGGAGGAGCCATTTTTCAATGAGAATCAGTTTTCAGCCACTAGAGCGTGCCAGAGTGCAAAATTGGCCTCCGGCCAGTTTATGCGCAGCGCTTCACCGGCACACAGTGCGGCCCTCTGCGGATAAAATAAAAAATTCACAACTGGACATCTGAATATTTTTTTCGGGAGTTTGTCATCTTAACAGGGGCGGATCCAGGGGGGAGGGCGATGGCAGGATGTGTTGTAATTTGGGATGGATCGTTGTGGAGACATGATTATAACATGAGTTTTAAAATACGAACATCTTCTTTAGATACGAATCTTCTTCGCTACGGAATGGCGATACGGTGCGCATATTGCCGAAACATTCAGACTTGAAAGTAATTAAAATCAGCGGGAAACTGAAAAAAATCCTGAATTCATACAAGTACTTGAGCTGAGACGGAACGTGTTGAATGACAGAGATTCGACCGAAAATTGAAAATTAAGTGACTGTCAGTCTCACACTCCCAGTCTAACTTTTTTTGACATGGTACCCTCAAAAATGCACATCAGTAGAGGCTGACCAAAATATCTGAGCAGGGTGTTAGATTTTGTATGATATACAATGAAAGTTTTCACCCCTTCTAATCCTCCTTCTCCCCTTTTCACTTTCCACACATTTCTTGGAGACATGCCTATTCCTACAGGGTGCGGCAAAAGCCCCGGGACCCCTGATTAATTTTTTTACGGCTGCAGCTAGGAAAATGAAATTTGGAGGGTAGTCCTAGGTCAATGAAAGCTACTTTTTGACCCCCCCCCCCAAAATTTTGGGGGGGGTTACGGACCCTAACTTTTTTTTTCAAATGAGAAGACCCCCTTGTGATATCACGTTCGAAAGAGCATAAAAAAAGAAAATGTTTCGCGTAAACCCGAAGTCATTATCTCAAACCGTTTCAAAATGGCGGCCGGTCAAAGTTCAAAATGGCCGAAAATTGGCACCTCTGCTATTTGCACATGGATTTGCTTAAAACTCGGTATCTGGTGGTATTTTGGCACGAGAAAAAAGAATTTGACGTTAGATTTTTAAAAAAACCCTAATTTTTCAAAATGGCCGCCGGCTTAGGCTCAAAGTGGCCGAAAATTTGACAAACTCGATTTTTTGGGTTTGTTTAAAAATCTAACGTCGAATTCGTTCTTCTCGGGTCAAAATACCCCCAAAAACCGAATTTCAGGCGAATCCATCGGCAAAAAATCGAGTTTGTCTAATTTTCGGCCCCTTTGAGCCTAAACCGGCGGCCATTTTGAAAAATTAGGGTTTTTTTTAAAAATCTAACGTCAAATTCGTTTTTCTCGTGCCAAAATACCCCCCAACTACCAAGTTTTAAGCAAATCCATGTGCAAATAGCAGAGGTGCCAATTTCCGGCCATTTTGAACTTTGACCGGCCGCCATTAGGAAACGGTTTGAGATAATGACTTCGGGTTTACGCGAAACATTTTCTTTTTTTATGCTCTTTCGAACGAGGTATCGCAAAAGGGGTCTTCCCATTTGAAAAAAAAAGTTAGGGTCCGTCAAAAAGTAGCTTTCATTGACCTAGGACTACCCTCCAAATTTCATTTTCCTAGCTGCAGCCGTAAAAAAATTAAACAGGGGTCCCGGGACTTTTGCCGCACCCTGTATACCTGCTATTTTATTGCAGCACTCTGCAAGGTCTCAAAGTGAACTCTCCCGGCATGACAAGAGAACATAGCTGCTTTGTCCTTATTAATGGGCTATGGTCAAGACTGAGGATTGTTATGTATTAGTGTATCTTTAAGTCGGAAAAGAGCAAAAAATCCAATGTACACTCATTTAGTTTGCAAACTTGTAAATACACAGATGTCATCCTTCATTCAATGTTATAGATTCACTTGTCAAAGTTAGGAGCGGAATAAAAGCTCGAAACACCTAATAAACTATACACGTCATTCAAATATAAATTTCTGCAGTAAACAGAGATTATATTTTTAATGATATGCTCATATTATAGCCTAAGAGCCAGCTGCACTTTTGGCGCCACTACTCCAGCTCGCTTGAAACTTTGCAGAGACCTAGTTCTGACCTCCCTAGTAACGGATTGGGCAATATCAGACCTCGAAAGTGATGCATCTGCCGCTGCGCCCCCTTAAAACGCGAAAAAGCGTGCGATGGCCACTTTTTGGCTCCTGAAAAGTGCTTTGACGTTGTTCCCTAACCTTTTTATTGTACGCACGTATAGATTTGGTACATGTTAACGTAATTTTAGCCTGGCAGACGAGTTCAAGTTCATACGGTCGATCGGCAGACCTCCAAATTGGCTCCGCAGGCAATAAAAATTTAAGATTACGGTGCGACCTCTCCATGGTGCATGAACTCCACACACTCACCCCTCTCAAAAACAGGTGCATCGGCTCCACAGGTCATGGAACCCACGCACCAAATTAGAGAGAGACAGAAAAAAAGTGGTGCCTGGGGCCCAAGCCCCTCGTAGCCCGCAGGGTAAACGAATACGCCTTTCATTACGTTGCTGCAAAACATTCAACTTTGGAACCTTCCCGAAAACTGCAGAATGAATATTATGCATCGCAAAGGAAGCAAAAAAGGAGAATGATAACAGTGAAGCCTCATTTTAGTAGGATGGAAAGTTGATCAATGGCCGCATTTCATAGTCATATAATTGTGCATTCCAGCAATTTTACACGTTACAGTCAATATTAGGGTGGTCCTTAATTTTGAGTTTTCGGAAATTTAAAGTGAGGAACCCTCAAATGGTTTTATTTACAGAGAAAATAACGCGAAAAAATGCAATTGGGGAAAACAAATTTTAAGCGCATTCTTAGGAGCCTAAAGTTGCGAGAGTTGCGCGCAGAGACGCGTTTTCTCGTCTTTTCGCGGATTTTTAGCCCTTTAATATCTTGCTACGGCTTTGGGGGTAACATACTTTTTAGAGCACATTACAAGAAAATAACTTAATTTACCTCGCCCATTTTAATCCGCCCTTTACTCCCCTTTAAAGTGGCCACGTCGTGCAATTTTCCAAAACAATATACCCGCCCGGTTTACCTGAAGGAGTTTAAATTTTTTGATGAGCCAAATGCAGAAACTCCTCAGATTCTAGAAGTAGAGTGTCTATAAAATCATTAAAGCCATAAAAAGAAAACAATTCTGTTCAGCTGCTGGAAAACAAAGTCGAAATAAATATATATTGGAACTAAAATAGGCAAAGTTGAATTGCCGGTGTAGAATTCTGTTACATTATTTAAAAGAAATCCCTTTGATAGTTATAATGTCTAAGTTTCTTACATATGGTTGTTTAACGTACTCGAGTTTAAACATTAATAACACCGGTTTTAGGCATATGCTAAATTTTTGCTTCCTAAAACTACCCCTTACAGCGAAAATTACTCCTTCCCATGGAGCTCTCCAAAAAATGACCGGCTCTCACAAGACGAAATCCTATCATTTATTGACCACCTGGGGCTGAAAAACTGATTTTCTTGTTTCCTTGTACTACGAGGAAATAAAAGCGGTTCAGGGTTTGTATTTGCTTTACGTCATGTACTTACACCTCTATCAGTTTGCAGTTCAGGTGGCTGAAGTAATAATGTTTCAGTTAGCTTCTCAAGGAAATCTAACAATAAGTCTTATTTTTTTGACATGAAAGATAATGGAACACTCTTTCAATTCAAAAACTGCGAAGTACTTTCTGAGACTATATGAAGATTTTTCAGGAAAAAATTTACATTTCCAAATCCATGATCCAAGGTTAATTCATGCAATAGAGGGTTAATTTTTTAATCTTACTTATGAGGCAGATATTTTTCTGTTTGTTGACACAGTGATCATAGGCACCATGCAACGTTACCATTTTGATTATAGGTTGCATTTTTTTTACGGTGTACAGTGGACCTAGTGTCCACTAGGAGCAACCGAGGGAGGGAAGGGACAATTTTTTTCCGTTTTCTTTTTTTTTTCTCTGGTATACCGTTGAGAAAATCTGATTGAATGATCTGAAAAGTTCCCCTACAAGCTGTTAGGGGCGTCAGCCCTACGCACCACTTTTTTCTATCTCTCTCTAATTTGGTGCGGAGCCGATGCACCTGTTTTTGAGGGGGGTGAGTGCGTGGAGTCCATCCACCATGGAGAGGTCGCACCGTAATCTTAAATTTTTATTCCTTGCGGAGCCAATTTCGAGGTCTGCCGATCGACCAGATGAACTTGAATTCGTCTGCCGGGCTAAAAGTAAGTTGACATGTACCAAAACTATACGAGCGTACAATAAAAACGTCAAAGCACTTTCCAGGAGCCAAGAAGTGGCTGTTCTGTTCGATTTTATTGCACGAAAGGGCCATTTTCAGGGTCTGCCGATCGGTCGCATGAACTCAAATTCGTCTGCCGGGCGAGAACTAAGTTAACATGCACCCAAACTATAC